ATGACGGCTGTGGAGTCTCTACCCCTACGGTGGCAGACGGGGGTAGGAACTCACCGGCCGCCCTGGGACGGGCGCCCCCGATCGTGGAACAGTCGATCTTATGCCGCTCTTCGCCCGCTGATCTTCTGCTTCCACCACCCGGAGGACAGGGTCTGCCCCTGGAGGCACGCCCGCGCGATCATCGGGGCAGTCGACGCGCGCCAGGCCCAGCTGGGCCTGCCCGCCGCCCAGGTCACGGAGCTGGCGGAGCTGGACCGGACCTCGGCCAAGACCACGGCCAGGCAGCTGGAGCAGGGCCTCGCGCCCCAGATGCACGGCTACCAGGACACTGCCTTCCTCGGCGACCGCTTCCTGCGGGCGTTCCTGCGCGGACCGGGCGCCCGGGCGCACGGGGGCGGCTGGAGCCGGGGACACCCACAGGCACCGGCGGCACCGCCTCTGCCCCGGACCTCCTCCCCGGGGTGCTGCTCGCGGACCAGCACTGCGAGGCGAGTCCAGCCGTGGCGACGAGGGCCTCCCAGGAGGCCCAGGGAGGGCGAAGGCGCGGGAAGGCCCGCGGTCTCGGTGCCGCTCCCATGGCGTCCGCCGATCTGTTTTGCCATTCTGCGGCCCCAGACGTCCCGACCCCTTCCCCAGGGGTGGTTTCTCGTGCCAGGCGCATTCTTGATGGCCGAAGAACGGCTGGGGCGTTCGTCAAGGAATGTGCCCAGGACACTTCAGCCCCTGGAGGATTCCTTCTCGAACGAGGGCGGCGGATTTTTCCTGGACCACTCCACGATTGGAGTGCCATCAGCTTCCAGACCCTGGACTCCTTATCCAATGGTTCCTTACCTTATGCCCTCACCGTAGAGTAAACACTCGGCGGCGAGCCCGGGGGGAACTAAGAAGGGGCGGGCCTTCTCATAAGGCTCGGAAGTCCCCCAGCCTTCTGAGATGTTTTCTCAGCCTTTCCCGAAGACGCAGGAACCTCTGAGAAGCCCAGCTGCCTTCCGAGACGGCCTTCTCCTTCTCACTCCCCCCCCTCGCTCGCCGCCGAGACACGCCCGAATTGAAACAACCACATCGTCGGAGGTCCGCGTTCATCTTCCTCGGGACACGCCCCTCGTGACCTCTCGACCACGCGCCCCGCGCTGTTTTTTGGACGGTCCCGAGGCCCGGCAAGGGCCCCGAGAGGCCGACAAGGGCCCCTCGCCAGGTTCCCTTCTTCTGGGCCTCCTCGGAGGCCCTCGTCGCCACCGCTGGACTCGCCCCGAAATTCTGGTGAGAGCGCACCCCGGGAGAGGGTCCAGGGAGCAGCGGCATCGGTGTTCGCTTGTCTCCCCCAGAGGCCTCCCGTCGCAGCTGTTGCCACGATGCGAGCAGGTCTGGGGAGGTCCAGAGGCCCCACGCCGACCACGACGAGACCTCCGCTGCCCCGATATGCGGGCAACACTTGTGTCCGTATCCACTGCAGCTTGGGGGTTTCGGGCTCCCTTCCCCAGAAACCCGAGGAGCACTGGACATGGACAGAAATCAGGCCCCTAATTACTAGAGGCTCGACTTTTGTCCATATCCAGTGCGCCTCGGCCTTGCGGCGCCCCTTCCACGAAAGTCCAAGACGCCCTGGACATGGACATGAATATTGCCCGCAGCTGATGCGCCCGTCTTGAAGCGCAGCACGTACCGTGTTCAGCACGTCCACCCCGAGCACGGCGCGTGTTGGCTCAGCACGCGTTGGTCCACGCTGGGGCGAACGTATCGCGCCAGACCTGCGCTTTCAGTCTACGTGTTGAGCCCCGTGCCCGCACGCCACGCGTTGCGTGCTGCGTGTCGGGGCGGCTAAGGATGCGACGCCTCCGCCTCGATCTGGTCGCGACGCCAGATGCGCGACGCCCCAAAACGAGGCCGCCTGCGCCGACCTTCGTCCGCAAGCTGCCCGCGTAAGGTGGCGCGTAGGCGCCCTCGTCTCCACTGCGGCGTGCCGCGCCGGCGGCCTGCGCACGCCGCCGCGTGAGGTCCCTGCGGCATCTCGCGCAAGACGCGTTCTTGATCGTCGCCCGTCGGGGGTGGACAGAACCCCCAACAGTGACACGTCGATCAGTGAATTGTCCGTGTTCGGTTCTCGAGAGGGCGCCGTGGCCGCTATTCTCCAGGCTTGCGCCCGCCAGGCTTGGGCCTCGGGGCGTCTTCACGAAGCCACGCTTTACCGAAGGGGGGTCTGTCCATCCCTGAGCCCAGCTGTCTGGCTGCCGCCTCCTCCGAGGAGCACCCGGGCCGGCGAGGGCGACGCCTGGGGGCGCGGCCGGGGTGGCCGCAGCCGTGGGCGCTCCGGGGGGCGCTCCAGCAGCCGGCCGCGGCTCACGCTGAGGCCTCGCTCGCGGCCGGCCTCCCGGTCGCGGCCGGGGGCTCGGCGGCGAGGGGAGGTGCGGGGCGAGTCGGGGGCGGGCAGGAGGGGGGTGATGGCCAGGCGGGGTGGATCTCATGGCGGGGGCCAGGATATCTCTGCAGATCTCATGGCGCCTCGTCTCGTTTCAGTGCGCCCCTGGCCCCCCCTGGGGCCGCGCTCCCATGCCGCCGGCCACGATTTGCGCCCCCCCCCCCCCTTGGACACCCCCCCTCTTGGACGCCCCCGAGCAAGGGGCCCCCAGCGGGTCCTTGTCGCGCCCACGCAGGACCATCCGTTTGCGCCTGCGCTTTCGCCTGCTGCCTCCACTCGCCTAGACGTAGGAGTTACCTTTCGCTGGAGCGACCTTCGATGCAGGCGCAGATGGGTCCCCCGATCGCCGAACGCGATGCAGGTTAGTAGCGTCTTGCGCGCTCGTGTTTGGCCCGCCCGCGGCCCCCGAGAAGCCGCGCACCAAAGGTCACTCTTATCCAGAGTCACTCCTGCGTGTGGCCGGAGGTATCGAAGACGTCTACGGCGAATCACCGCCGCCCCCTGCCTTTTTGGAAGCGCCTATGTGGCCGAACGTTGAGGCCAGACCTGCCAACCGATCGGACCATGTGTTCCCCGAATCGGTTTGGAGAGCCTTCGGGGAACACGTGGGCCTCTTGAAGGTCATCTTGGCCGTGTGGAGGCCTCTTTCGGGCCTGCTTGTAGGACGTCGTGGAGGGCTCTTGGGCCGTCTTGTAGGCCATCTTAAGCGTCTTGGAGGCCTCTTCGGCCGTCTTGGGGGCCTCTTGGGGCCGTCTTGGGCCTCTTGGGCGATCTATGGGGGCACTTGGGCCGTCTCGGGTCGTCGGAAGGCCGAACAAAAAAGAGCAAATGCAACAATCCTTGAACAACTCATGGGAAATCAATGATTTTGGCCATTTTCGGCCCTTCCTGGAGGCCCTCTTGGAGGCCTCTTGGGCCCGTGGGCCATCTTAGGGCCATCTTCGGCCGTCTTGGTGGGCCCCTGGCCCGTCCTACGCTGTCGCAAGCCGTTTGGGGAGCCTCTTTGAGCTGACTTGGGGCGCTCTTGGAATGCTCCAGGGCCGTCTTGGAGGCCACCTTGGGCGTCTTAAAAGCCTCCTGGGCCGTATTGGGGGCCTCTTGGGCCGTTCTGGGGCCATCTTGGAGGCCTCTTGGGCGATCCTTGGGCGATCTTTGGGGGCTCTTGGGCCGTATCGGGCCGTCGGAAGGCCGAACCGAAGCAAACATCAAAATCTTTCGAAAACCCAGGGCAAACTACTCTTTTTGGCCTTTTCTGGCCTTCCTGGAGGCCCTCTTGGAGGCCTCTTGGGCTGTCTTGGGCCAGCTTCGAGCCAACGTCGGCCATCTTGGTGGGCTCCTGGCCCGTCTGACGCCGCCGGAAGCCGTTTGGGGGGCCCCTCTGGGCCGACTTGGGGCCCTCTTGGAATGCTCCAGGGCCGTCTTGGAGGCCATCTTGGGCGTCTTGGAGGCCTCTTGGGTCGTTTTTGTGCCCTCTTGGGGCTGTCGTGGGGGCCTCTTGGGCGGTCCTGAGGCCATCTTGGAGGCCTCTTGGGCGCGGTGGGGGCGATCTTGGGGGCCTCTTGGGCTATCTTGGGTCGTCAGAGAGCCGAGAAGAAGCGAATACGAACAACCTTTCAAAGCCTAAGGGAAATCAATGATCTCGGCCTTTTCGGGCCCTCCTGGAGGGACTCTTGGAGGCCTCTTGGGCCGTCTTGGAGGCTTCTGGGAAGCCTCTTGGGCCGTCTTCGGCCGTCTTGGACTCTCTTGGGCCGTATGGGAGGCCGTCTCGGATCATCTTGGGCGGACTTGGAGGCCATCTCGGACCATCTTGGAGGCCATCTTGGGCCAACGTGGCCATCTTGGAGACCATCTTGGGCCATCTTGAGCAACAATTCTGAGAATTCCGGGCCTTCCGGGTGGCCGGCGGGACGGGCCGAAGCCCCAGGGGGAGTTCTTTTGGACAAAGAACCAAACCAAAACCGAAATAGTCTAGCACGCCAGCACCCCTGCGATGAATCGACAGGGGGCTGCGGATCCAATGGCCTTCGGCCCATCCCGCCACCGTGCTTGGGTTGTGGATTTAAAACAGCCAGTTGGATGCTCGTTGGGATCTCATGGGGAGCCTCTCGGGGGCCTCCTGCAAGCAGTTTTCAGGCCTCTCGGGGGCCGCTTTGGGGGCAACGATGGGGGGGGATGGGTATAGGGCGGGAGGCATCGACCCCCCATCGCCTATTTATCGCCGATGTGGTTCTGACACCCCGCCCAGGAAGGTGCCGACTTGCTGTCGGGGGCCTATCCCAGACCCCCGACGTCGCGATTTTTGCGCACCGTCGACCTCCAGAGGCCTCGCCCCATTCCCCAGGATCAGTTCTTCATCCCGGGTCGCTTTTAGCCGGTCCGGAGGCCGGCAAGGGCCCCCACAGGCCGAGAGCAGCGGAAGATTGTCCGTCGCGAGTTGTTCGCGACGCGAGGGGGTCTGGGCCAGACCCCCCCCCATCGCTGCGCCTCGCGAGAGGGGAGGGCCCAGTCTCCCTCGCCTCGCTCCGGGGCTTGAGGTTCTGCAGGCGTTCTCGCCGAAGAAGCGCGAACTCAGGCTTTCTAGTTCGGCTTTCTAACTAGGCTTTCTAGTTAGGCTCTCGATCGGCTTTTCAATAAGCTTTTCATGAGCTTTCTATCGGCTTTCTCCTTATATATAGGCTTTGTATCGGTCTTCTATCACCGAAGATGAACGAACCAAGGCTTTCTACAGGCTTCCCATGGGCTTTCTCACCGAAGAAGAGCGAACGCCTGGCGCGCTCTGGCGAGGGGCCTGGTGGCTCGGCCGGGCCTGAAACGCCGCTCCACCTCCTCCTCTTCCTCCTCCTCCATTCCTTTTCCCAAGGGCCGCGGCGTGTCTTGGCCACGACCGCGCCCCCTCGGTGGGCCGGTCCTCCATTCCTTTTCCTTAAGAATAATTTCTCCCTGCCGCACCCCGAGGCCAGTTTTTACGGCGGGCTGGGCGTTTCGCC